CTACACCGGTACATTGACCGACCACTACCCACAGGACGTTGGATCTCCTTACCACCTCGGATCACTATACCGGTACATTGACCGCCCACTACCCACAGGACGTTAGATCTCCTTACCACCTCGGATCACTATACCGGTACATTGGCCGCCCACTACCCACAGGACGTTGGATCTCCTTACCACCTCGGATCACCACACCGGTACATTGACTGACCACTACCCACAGGACGTTAGATCTCCTTACCACCTCGGATCACTACACCAGTACATTGACCGACCACTACCCACAGGACATTGGATCTCCTTACCTTATAATTGTGTTGGTTTACCAATACCTTTATTTCTTTCTACAATATATTCAGAATGTATGCATGGCATCATTGCCATAAGGGGCCAATGGGTTTTGATAATCTGGAGAAGAAAACTCACATTGCAGGACTATGTTTGGCGGAGAAAACTTTTGGTATAAAAATTGTTTTAGGAGGAGAAGAAAATTCACATTGCAGGACTATGTTTGGCAGAGAAAACTCACATTGCAGGACTATGTTTGGCAGAGAAAACCTTTGGTATAGAAATTGTTTTAGGAGGAGAAGAAAATTCACATTGCAGGACTATGTTTGGCAGAGAAAACTCACATTGCAGGACTTTGTTTGGCGGAGAAAACTCACATTGCAGGACTATGTTTGCAGAGAAAACTTTTGGTATAGAAATTGTTTAAGGAGGAGAAGAAAACTCACATTGCAGGATTATGTTTGCAGAGAAAACTTTTGGTATAGAAATTGTTTAAGGTGGAGAAGAAAACTCACATTGCAGGACTATGTTTGGCGGAGAAAACTTTTGGTATAAAAATTGTTTTAGGAGGAGAAGAAAACTCACATTGCAGGATTATGTTTGCAGAGAAAACTTTTGGTATAGAAATTGTTTAAGGTGGAGAAGAAAACTCACATTGCAGGACTATGTATTACCCACAGGACGGTGGATCTCCTTACCACCTCGGATCACTACACCGGTACATTAACCGACCATTACCCACAGTACCTTGGATCTCCTTACCACCACCAATCACTACACTGGTACATTGACCGACCACTACCCACAGGACGTTGGATCTCCTTACCACCTCGGATCACTACACCGGTACATTAACCGACCACTACCCACAGGACGTTGGATCTCCTTACCACCTCGGATC